ATTACCACAATGAATTATTATTTTGAAGGTTATCGTAAAAAAGGTTATGTGCCATGGTTCATTGTTCACTACATCAAAATGATTCATTGTAGACCGCCTAACCTTTTCCACGATAATCTCCAAAATAATGCAGTAAAATAATACAACAGAAAAAAAGTTGCTTGCAGAATAATAAAGCCAAATGTGCACATAAAACTATTGCACAATGAAAAAAATTATAGATATAACAACAAAAACATAAAAAATGTTTAAAACTTACGGAAAAAACTTACTTTGCAACCTAAAATTTTTAAAATGTGATATTACATGGCCATCCTTGGCGCGATTCCTAGCCGACTGGAAAGCCGAGAAGAGATTCAAATGTAAATCGTTGCATGATAAGCGCAATCTGTAATGTCGCATTTACAAAATATCGTAATAGTTTATAGTGTACTACTGGTTCACTGTTGGACTACTTACCCTATATATTTTAATTGCCATTAAAATAGTATCAACGTTGAGATTGAATGTGACGCGCTTAGATCGATAGAGAAAGTCAACAAACTTTGAATCGATCGCAGGTGATGTATTACGCATCGATTGTTTGTTCACTCATTACGTTATCTCACAAAAAGTCTTCGTTATAAAGTTTGCGAACAAAATATCTTATTTAAATGTTCTTAATAAATATTATTTTAATATTCTTAAAAACATATATATCTTATACATTTGAGTTATATTTAACATTAAGTATCTTTTACATTCAAATTAAATAAATACACATATTAAACTCATTTTAAATGAATTCGTGTACACAACAAGTGTAACCAATTTTTAGAGTTCCTTATCCATCAGGTATTTTTTAATAAGCATACTTTACAACAAGATAAAAATCTTAAGCTATTGATTGTGCACTTTGAACAAGTGCAGAATAAATTTCCTTATTTAACTAGTTGTATGTTTGGTTAAATTTACGTCAATTTCATGTTATGATCACACTGAGAGAAAACGAAATAGTTTTAGCAACTATAAATTTGGCAACTTTTGCAATTAAAGTATCTGTAACTAGTTTTACAAAGTAATAGAAACTAAAGTAGTGCTGAATATTATAAAAATATAGTCACGGTAACAAATTGTATGCACTATTAATTGGTAGTGAAATAGTGACTTAACTACATTGAGTAGTTACTTGGACTTCACGCAAATAGATATAACAATTACATTTTTCTAGTTTAGACAAAAATTTTTAAAGTGTCGCTCAGTACGAGGCTTTGTCACCAGAGGGACGTAGCGGAGTTCAGTTTCTCTTAAGAAGGAAATTACTCAGTTTATGCGATAAAAGGCGCAGCGTTGATTTCAAACTTGGAAGACAAAAATAAATAAGAAATGCATACACAAATTTGTAACTATGTATTATAAAGCTTTAATAACAACAATAAGTAAATTAAGTGAACTAAGAAAATATAGTAATATTAACCATTTATAAATTGATTATATGGTTAATGTACTATATTTTCTTAGTTTATTTAATCTAGTATTCTTATTAGAATTTAATAATATGTATATAGTTGAGGCGCTATTTCACTACAAATTTATAGTTACTGATACGACTTTTTTCTCTGAATGCAGCAACCAATTTTATATGTGTTTCTTGATTCTGTAATAAACGAAAGAAAAATATCCTCTTGTGTTATATATATATATACATATATATTAATTAATAATATATTACTTGAGATATCATACATTTCATTATTAATTCAATTTGACATCATATTAATTATCAATTAACTTAATTATTAATTCGACATTTTTACATTAATATGCGTATTATTAGTTCAAATGTATTGTAAGGCGTGAGTTACGAACAAACTTATTATTTTATTTCTGTTGATAATTACTGCAAATATTTGAGTCAACGACTAGAAAAATCAATTTTTACTATCAAACATAGGCTCGTGTGTTTTCAAATTTTAATAAGTTTGAGTTCACTATAGAAGAGTTACAAACGAGTTTCTTTCATTAAACTTAAATTTTATATATTTTGCAATTAAATTATTTACAAATTTTGTATTAGATCCTTCTAAGATGCTTATGAGCATCAAAATTATGAAATTACTTATGATATACTGCTCCATCTTTGATTTAGGGTTGTGTTTCAAGATCAAAATAATTGGCGTACAATTAGCTTGAATTGAAAATTGTACAAATTCATAAAAGAAATATGATTAGACACGACGAATCGCCTTGACCGAATGACCTTTTTCATTTATATGTGTTTAATCTCATCGATCGATTTTCATTTAATATTGTTAAATTTAATAGTACTCATGTGTACGAGTAGAATGATTTTGCTCTGTGAAGTATCTGAAAATTTAGTTAGATACAAATCCGAAAATGATTTAGTTGGACGTCAAAGTAATTACGTAAGAATCTCGAGCAAGATAAACAATGCTACAAAAAGTTTTGACATTCTAGCAACTGGTTAATTTGAGCGTTTTACAAAATTATTTTGTAGACAGCATGTCTAAAATTAAAACATAAGACGTCTTAAAATGCTTTTAATTTTGAATTTTGGAAATATGACTACGAATTGTTCATGAATGATTCGAAAAATCCATAAATATCGATTTTCATGGAAATCGAATGAATTTTGGACCACCTGATCAATGAAATAAACGTTTTCAATAATTTTCATAAGTTTTTTTATTTATTCTAACCGCCATATTGGAGCAGCCGCTTTGAATTTTCAAAAACGCCACGTTTTTCCTTAAACCACATATAAAAACGAAAATTTTAAGCCCTCGTGTTATTTCGACTTCACAAATTTTGCCCAGACACTTGTCCCCGTTGACGTGGAACGTCCCATATATACATATATATGAACTTGCTTGTAATGAATGCTATTAATTATAATCTTTTTAAGAAAGTTCTAATATTAATTTCTCAATTCTGATTTATTTAAAGCTCACAGAAACTACAATATTTAAATTACAATATTTAAATTTGTAAATAACACAAAAATATATTTAAAAAAAACAGGAAGAAAGGGAAGTTTTATATGATAGCAAAAAGGAGGCTCGAAGTAATAAAATACGGTTATGAGAGCTTGGATAGGATATAAGGGAGACCATTGGAGTATACGAAAACACTGTAGGAAGGGATCTCTATTGGGACAATATGACTCGGAGGTTATCAATGTTTGCAGAACTGAGCTCTGTACTAAAAGAACGAAAGAAAAAGGGATAGATAAAAGAAACTGGTTTAGAAAAGATTCAGAGGAAATCTCATCAATTATATACGATAGAAAAGAAAAGGAAGAGTTATTTTTGAGGAAAAGGTTCATCACTAGGATTAAAGGACGATTCCATGTGAATTAAAGAACAGTTCCGAGTAAAAATCGAAAAGTGAAAGAAACAGCGAAGTGTTGATTAATATGTTTAAAAAAGAGGATAAATAAGTTGAACATCAGATATTTAGAAAGAAAAATAGAAAAATAAATGAGAACCGAAAACTTGAGTGTTTTTAAGTTTCCAGTTTCTTCAATGATCTGCAAATCTATTTATTTCAACAATTTGGTATAATATTTTGTAGCTCTACGTTTCTGAATTTTGTGGATTTATCTTTTTATTAAAAAATTTAATAATTTCAAGCAAACAGATCATGCAATTTGAATAGTTGCTTTTCGAGTTTTCACAGGTTAAGTAAGAAATGATATTTGTGACAATAATGTTAATAACAAAAAACGCTATTACTAAGAGGGAATAATGCTGATAATGGGAAAAGACAGCAAAATAAAAAGATTAGTTAAAATTAGTTAGTCCTAGAAAGAAAAGTTAAAATTAATTTATCCTAGATAAATTCTCTTATAAGAGGAGATTTATTAATTAGTAATTAATGTAGCTAACCTGAAGTACAAAAATTTCAACAAAAAATTGCTCAATTGCTAGTTAAGCATTAGTTGTTACGTCGAAGTTTTGAAAAGAAATTATTTTTTTTACGAATACTCACAACCTTGTGCAAGAACTCTCTTCGACCTAAAACATTTATTTTCCCAAAGTTGAGTATTATGAGTGCGTGTACATGAATGTTTGTTATTTTATCCTTGAAAAAATAATTTTTTAAAAATTATTGCACAGTTTCCGTTCTCGCTAAATAATGATCCAATATACATGTTTGAGCTTTACTCTCATTTTTTATAATTGTAAAATTTAATCAATAGGTACCATTAATATATCACTAACATTTTGTAATTATTTTGTATGGAATTAATTAATGCTTAATTTACCTTCTTTTTTTATGTATAACACGCTTATATGAATTTTATAATATTAAAATTAAACTTACTTTTTCTCGATAAACAAAACAAATTAAAATTCGTAAGCGAAAGGAAGTATCAAGTACGATCGATAGATGAACAATCGAAACAATACTTTGTATTAAAGTATAAATCAATAAAGCTTATAGGTTCGTACTTTGAAAATCAGCTTACACTCGAGTGTGCTTATGAAAGCATAATGTTCAGTCAAGCAACTTGCTCGTATGCACTATAATCTATTAACTACAATCCAGTTAGTATTACATGTATCGTAATAATTTGCGTGTATTTTTTCACATAAAGGTTATATGAAATGGCTTACAGAACACACGCATCGAAAACTCATAACACTTGGACTCTTTTAAATAATATTTCACTTACTTTCATAAGTCCTAACATACTTGCGTGTAACGCAGAAATCATAACACATCATAAATTTACAAACACTTGCGTTTTGTAAATTTTATGGCATAATGATTAATAGTAGCAGACACCACATTAATTATATTTTTAAAATTCGCATATGTAAACAGTAATAAATGAATCTTATCAGACATTGATAAGATTCATTTGTTGTCAGTATTAATATTAGCATACAATTAAATACACTAGCGAGGTACAAACGTATCCCACTGTATACACAATTACGCAAATATTTCTCACATGGCACGTGCATTGCTGCAGCCTCCATGTATTCTCAGTGTCGATCTCCATCTCACACCAGGAGAACGCGCACCGAGGACAAGTGCTTGTAAGTGGAGATATCGTTTGTTAAAGTATGTTTGTACCCCGCATTTTTTTCTTGATGGTTTTTTTTTCTTTACCATTTTTGTTATAATAAATTTTTATTATTAGTAAAGTTGATTAAAAGAAAATTGAAATATAGCTGAATTATAATCTAAGATTACTATAACTAACCAAAAAATGTTCTAAACTTTGTCGGAAATTAGAAAAAAAATTGCGTATTTTTGTTACTTAGAACTCTACAAATTTTATTTTCTGTTATATTTGTAATAAATGATTATTTTTCAGCTTTAAAATATTTTAAACTTTTATTATATAAAAGCTTTTATTTTATTATTACACCACAGATAAAAAAAAAAGAACAATTTCTTAAATTTCATTTCAGTTAAAATTCTTATCAAAATTTGGACTACATACCCCTACAGCACAAAGTTGCACAAAAATTGCAGTAACACTGCTACAACATTGCAGCAATATTGCAGAGATTTTGCAGCGATATTGCTGCAAATTCTGTACTGTATGGGTAACTACCCCATAAGTATAGTTGTGTAAGCCAGATTTTGCCAATGTACTTGAAGTTAATATTAAATACAATATTATAAATTTGTAATTCTGGTATACATAGTACGGGAGAGTTGTGAAATATGTATAACTTAAAAAAAAAGTAATATTTTATTATATTTTCCATTTGGTACTGATTTGTACGCAAATGAACATTGGAAATTGTAGTATATTAACGTATCGGGCACCTACTCGTATATATCAATGTTGTAATTGTGTATTAATGTTTCAGACACCGACTATCATATATTTAACTTTTTATCAATAATAAATTAATTTGTTCGAAGTCTTTTTGTAACATGTTACAAAAAATACAATTTAAGTAGCAAGTATTCTAAATTGTACATAATATAGGCCTTCTAAATCGTATCTCTTTTGAAAATATTATTAAAACTATAAGTGAAAGTAATTAAAAATATGAGATTAAAAAAAATAGAAACAGAATAAAAAAATAATTAATACCTAATAATTAACTAATTTTAATAGTTGTTCAAAATGTCCATTTGTTAGGCGGTGTCGTAGATTCGACAAAACGAGTCCACCAATATTAAAAAGTCTTTCTTTTAAATTATATTCATCCCGGATGCATCTTTGACGCAACATGTGAACATATAGCACACAAAACTTGCGTGATGGAAAAGTGTGATATAGCGCTAATTGGTTGCTTCAATGACGCATTTTCTATTCCGCAGTCCTTTTCCTCACCGTGTGATTTCACTTCTATATCAACGGAATAACAAGAAAAATAACGTAAAATTTCGTTACTCGTTACTGAAAATTGTAACTTAGTTATCGTTACTGTTACTCGCTAAGAAAAGTAACTACGTTACTCATTCGTTACTAAAAAAAAGTAACGAAACCAGTAACTTCGTTACTTTTTTATGTAAAGTTAATAACCCTGTGAAAAGATAAGAATATCGAAATAAAACTGACTCGAACTTATTTTTGCAATTGACATCTGTAATCACATTAATTATTTATAGTTTTATTATTGTCCATTATCAGTCTTATCTTGTGATGGTACGATTTAGGAAATGTGATAGATAGGTTTTATAAAAACACTGATTTATTCTTTATAATAATTGCAAATACAATGTAAAATGTTCTACAATAAATCTTCTTTTATGAAAATTCAGATTAAAATGACTATATTATTATAATATTATGGATATATCAACTACATAAATTGATAAAAAATTAACATCAGTTTTATCTGATGTTAATTTTTCAAAGTGTAGTTAATACGCAGAAACAAGAAATGTAACCTTAAATAAACTGTTAAATTTTTGTTTATATTACTTATTTATATTTTATTTCATATTTTTGTTGTTAAATATTGCTCATATTAAATAATAAAATGAAATATTGATGAGATTTAGGCGATCAGTTCAGCAACTCTCCTCTAATTATGTATCTAATTGCACAAGCTGAACAGAAATTCAAATGACATATTAATTTAGTTTATTTAAACAGATGTAACAAAAATATTAGAATAGAATGAGAATAAACGCAAACGCGAAGAGATCAATACTTTTATTATGTACGTGATGTAAAATAGAATGAGGCAATTAACAAATTTGAAATACTGCAGAAGATTCGATGAAGCATTTACCAAATAATTGAAGAATTAAAAAATTTCATATTTTGCTTTACTTCTTTTTTTTAACTGTACTAAATTTGTCAAATAAAATAATATTGAATATTTTGTACTAGTTTCGTTACGGTTTTATGCATTTTAATGAACACATCATATGCGCATTGCTTAATCTATTTTATCATCATAACAATTAACCAACAATATTAACAATTTAAATAATTTTAAATGAGACATGTCCCTCTCTCATAATAAATAAATGAGTATATAATAGGTAATGTGATTAATTAGTGCTTCTGGTGTAATGCGAAATTTTACATTAGAAAATATGTAGGAGAAAGTTGCCGAATGCGTACCACTTAACCTATTTTTTATTATATGTTCCATTTGGCACCCTAGTAGCACAATTCATCGGCGCAACATTGGCCTAACATATCCCCAATGTATGCCAACGTTTAACCAATGTTTCACCAATGAATTGTGCTGCTCGGGCACTGTTTTATATGCAAATGAACATTAGAAATTATAGCTTGAGGTTTTGGACTTATTATTACATGTTTAACTTTCCACCAATAACAAATTAATTTGTTATAAATCTTTTTGTAACATGTTGCAAAAAGTACGATTTAGGCAACCGGTCGCCTAAATCGTACCTATAGATATTTTTTATCGTATTTCTTTTGAAAGTATTGAATTTATGAATGAAAACAATTAAAAATATAAGATTAATAAAAAATATCATTAATTAATACCTAATAATTAATTAATATCTAATTTTAATAATTTATTGAAATTTAATCTTTACAATGGTTGCAAATATATATATATACAGTGAATGTGTGTAAAATACTCTACAATAGATCTTTTTTATAAAAATACAAAAATATAAAAATTTATAATAAAATTGAATGATCGCGTTGTTATCAGCTACATAAGTTGATTAAAAATTAATATCAGATGTACCTAATTTTTTAAAACACCGCTAACATCCATAAAACAAGATGTAGGCTATTATATTTTTGTCTATATTACTTATTTCTCATATATTTTGTATTATTGTTACTAAATATTGCCTATATTAACTAATAATATAAAATATTAATGAGGTACGATTTAGGCGACCAGTACACATTCGGCAACTCTCCCCTATATGACATTACATCACACTAAAGATATTGTGATTGCATTTTTAGGCAATTTCAATCATATGTATTTTCGTATGCTCTATTTCATTAGAATTCTAAAAAGTGGATTATAATTCTTATTTATTATTTTGTTATTTAGGGTAAGTGGGGCGAATATGCCACATTTAAGCGAAATTAGATTTTTGAGTAATTATTTGTTCAATTTAAAGTAATTTTACATACTGATCTTTTTCTTCTATCCTTTATCCATTATTTCTATATAATTAGAATCGAATATTTTCATTTTTTATTATTAAAAATAAAGAATTATGAAAAATGCGTAATATGCCACCATGCGGGTAATATGCCACATACAAAAAAATGCTAATTATAACACTTATTTTGTTTTTTTATTGCAAGAGCACATTATTAATGATTTTTTATGATGAAAATAAACATTTGTAATATAATATATAGGTAATACAAACAATATAAGAATATGAGTAATAATTTCGATATAGATTAAGTTATATAACATGTAAAATAAACTTTGAGACATGTTTTTAACAGCATAAACATATCTTTCGACGAACAATCCTCGTGAATCCATCTATTGTAACAATTAGATATTATCCAATTACATTTTGGACTATTTTTAGAAGTGAAAATATGTGCAGTGTTTTCCGTTATTCAGATTAAAATTATCTAGATAATTATAAAGATGGAGAAATGGTTTTATCTTATCTTAATCTAGATTATTAAGAATATAGATTATTTTTATCTTATCTTAAAATAAAAATCTTTTTCAAATTAACTAAGATCGTAGAACACTATCGTAAAAAAATTTCTATATAACTTCTAGTAGTAGTAATGATGAGAATTCTTTTATGATACAGATAAAACTGGGATTAGTATAACATCAGTCATAATTCAAAGTGACATTAAAATACTTTCATATTTAAAAGATAAATCTAAGGAATTAGATATTCTTAATTTGTATCCACCAAATAAATTTTTTTTTAAATATGATACATCATTGCCATTATCAGCGCCAGTAAAGCCTTTTTATTTGTGGACAACAAATATTAATTCCACGTAGAAACCGTTTGTTAGACGAAACGTTCAAAAAATTTTTATTCGTAAAGATAAAGATTAATAAAAATATAAATACATTTTTTGTATCCTAATACCCAATTTCTTCACTTCCAGATAAGTTGCGGATAAGCTTATCCAGGAGATATCTTCATTGTATTCTGGAAGATATCTCTTGGATAAAGTTATTAGTCATATTGAAAATAGCAATTACGTACAGACGATTTACGTGTTATTAACACATTACTCATGCTCGGTCCACAAACCGGTTGCTTTAAAAAACTTTAAGTCATAAGTCGAAAGAGATTAAGTGACATAATTTCTGTCTTTAAACTGTTTTTGCGGAATTTTTAGGCTTTAACCTAACGTTTATTATATTTAAATAACTACTTTACGGAAAAAATGACATATATTTTTATCACTTAATTTTTCATAAAGTTTAATTCACGCTGCAATATTATCCTCAATTTCAGGACGTCCTTTATAATGCATGTTAATTATAGACTACACAATCAGCACACCGCAGGGAAGGTCTTTGAGATAAGAGTCTAATTTGTCCACTTAGTAACTTCTAGCAATTTTGTAGTGACCATGAAATACGCATTATTTACTGAAAAAGTTTTTTTTAACAAAAATACATTGACGTAAATCATTATAACTTGAAAGGTTGTGTGAATTGTAGTATAACAAAGTATAGCGAGATACGATTAAGGCTGCAGCAATTCTTTTGGGTACAGTCTGAAACTAACGAATATCTGGCCAATAACCTTACTAGAGAGAAAAAAGAGAGAATATGCCTCGCTAGGCGCGAGCGTCCTGTTTCCCGACTATTACAAAAGAAATTCAATTTCAATATGGGACGAGGCCAAATATAAACATGCGCCAATTAACAGAATTCAGTTCGCTCGTGGCAACGCGTTCAACTAGGTACTCGACTGACCAGTTTCATACAGTCATAGAATAGTTATCAACACGTTCAGTAGGGCGTGACAAAAAAAAACAATATAACAAAATACGTTTGGAGGAAGGCCGAAAAAAGCAATCACTTATCTTTGTGCATTTTTTTAATTTGGCGATTATGACTTTGTTTCTAAAATTTTTATTTGTGCGCAAACAAACTGTCGGGCGAAAGTGATGTAGGCAAACGATGCTGTAGACAATTGATTTGTAAGCAAAAGGAGCCATCTCTAAAAAACTGATATGACATTTATTTAAAATAAAAAATATAAAATAGGTTTCGGAAACTTATTTACGTCCAGAGAAAAATCTCTTCGATTTATTAAAAAAAAATTTGTTTGAATCAAAGAAATCTGTGTATTGCTATACGATTAATGAAAAGTTTCTTTGATTTGAATGTCATTTCTTTAAATTAAGTAAATTGTTATTTTCCTCAAAGATATTCTCACTTCAACTTAAAAAAATGAATGCAAGAAATGATTTTTTTAATTTGAACATAACATTTCCTTGGATTTAAAATATTAAATAAGAATTAAATAGTCAGACGAAGTTATTTAAAATAATAAATATTAAATACTATAACTCTTATTTTTATATTTAAAATGTATGTTTTAAATAACTTTATTTTAAATACAACTGCGAGCCCTATAATATAATTTTATTACACATCACGTAGCACGTACGTAAACGTATTTCTATGGGTATAATACGTAACAAAACGTTGCATTCTTTACAGATACTGTCAACCGTCCTCATCAACGTAGGTCCATCTATTACCAGCGTTCAACAGGTGATCTCTCTAGTCATTGAAATTAATTAATTAATTAGATTTTTGAATGTTTAATTTTGAGCTCTTATAATATTTCTTCTTGTACGGAATACAAACATTATTTTATTTAGAAAATTCTTTTGTTTTCCCTTTTCTTTTATTCAAATTTATTATTGTCTGATAATCCTTTTCAGTTTTATCAAATTTTATTTAAAAAATATTCTATTAAATATAAGAAAACAATATTTTACAAAACGTAAGAAATAAGAATATTCTTTTGTTTTGAAACACAGCTTCAAACATATCGCGATAACTAAAAATAAATTTAAATCAAAATATTAAAAATAAATTTTAAAAAATAAAGAAAAAGTGAACTAACGAGCAGACAAATGCAATGAGCAATACGTGGTTAATTTCTTAAATTACTTAATTATTACTTAAAAATAAGTATATATTTAATAGCTGAGGTAATATTTTTCGCAATAAGTGGTTTACAATTTTTTTTTAATTTAAGGGGGATTATTAGCGTTTCAGACCGACTGTGTTGAAAGTCCGAAAGTTATCGGCGCAATCATATCTGAAATAAATTGATTTAATAAAGAATATATATTATATTATTCAAACCATCTAACTTTGACCATGATGGCATTCTCTATCGTATTTTATATATTTAATAGTTAAAATAAACAATAAAAATTAAAAATAAAGAAATAAATTGTCTATGTGCTTTTACGGTTATTACGTACGTAAATTCATATAATTACAAGAGCAATTTAGAAATACAATCTTCAACAAATTTACATATATAAGATGACAAAAATATTTCCAAATCGGTGAAATATTTCGAAAACAAGAAAATATTTAAAAAACAAATGTTTCATACAAAAGTTGTAGAACTTCAACAATTGCATTAACACAGCGATACTCATTTGAGCACAAGTATTTTTTAAGATATGAATCGGCAATATGTAAGTACTGGCATTAGCATTATCCAAGGTATCGATCGACAAACAATGAGGTAAAATGTTCGAAAACCGGACATTGGAACAAAAAATTAAACATGAGAAATTAGAATTTCCAGTTTCTCATGTTTTCATGTATTTTTCATACCACAATCTATATAAAAATATGTTTGGATCATTAATTTTGATTAAAATTCTTACTGAAAATATCATACTTAACAAAATTCATACTTTTCTTTCTTCATACTTATAATGTAACTATAGTCAACTTCCATCGATTTGATACGTATTGCTTCAGAGAGATCTTACATGAAAATTAAACTAGAACAATAGCTGAAACTTTTACAACATAAAAAAAGTAACTTCAAATTTAATGTAAAGATTATTCTTATATTAAAAAATGATTAAGTATACAAATTAATTTAGTGCCTTTATTGATGACTTCATCAAGTCAAAACCGCCAAATTTCTTCCGCGAGGACATTCGGCAGTTGCCCGAAAGATGGTTTAAAGTTATCGAAAACAATGGAGACTATTTCGAATATTAAATGTGTACATACTTGTCTTTATGTGAGTAACTTTGAATTATAAAAAAAAGGCACCGAATTTATTTACACCTAATATTTGAATATGCATAATAAATATATTTAAAATAATGGAATTCATCCAATCAGAATCCAAGTTAACTAAAAATTTACGGCCCAAAACAATCCAACGTATCAATCGATTTTGGAAAATATTTACAAAAACCTATGATTATTCTCACTTTTTAGTACCCCCCATATTTGAAAAAAATTTATTAAAATTTATAATAACACGGTAAAGCGTGATAATATAGATCAGATTCATTTTATATTGTGGGTCGATTTTGATAAGTTTTGAATAAGTTTTCTAGACAAAACTAAAGGACAGAACGTGAATGATTGTCTTTATACACTTTGACATCCAAACTTCCTTACTTAACTATAAGTAATATTTTTTATTCAATATTAAGAATTTCTATTTTTTTTATTCATTTTTTCACTTTCTATTTTTAATTAAAAAATTTATCTTTATATAATTACATTCTAACCAGAGCTTCTTTTAGCTAATATATCTTATATTATCTTGACTGTTTACATATTTTTATATAATTTTATCTTTTAATTTTGAAAATTTTATCTCTGGACTTATTCCGCAAACAGAATGATATATACGTTTTACTTTTTTTACTTATAAATTCATGATTAATTTAGACTCTGATCATATTGAAAAAGAAGTCGGATCATCTGTACAATGAGAAAAAAAATTTGTTCAATTAACTGAACACATTTAGTTGTTTGCAAATTTGGTTAATTTTTTCATAATTCTATTATTTCATAATTCATAATTCTATTATTTAATTGAATTTAATCTTAGTCTGCTTAACAAGCTGTTCAATGTTAAACAGCCTACGGTTAAATTCGATTAAATAAAATTTGTTGAATTAATCAAATCAAACAACTAAATGTGTTCAGTTAGTCGTTTGAACAAATTTTTTTTCTCAGTGTATCTCTCCTTTTTTCACGATTAACTATTTTACTGTTAAATGCTGAAGAAGACCAAATCTAGGATTGAAATATTTATAAGATAAATATGTGAATCGGTCACGGATTATATGTATATAAATTGTTTACAAATTGTATTTCTAAATCGCTCTCATAAGTATATATAAATTCATGCTCTAGTAATCGTGAAGGCAATTTAGTTCTGTATAAACGATAAAGTTACATGTATATTTCGACTCACATTTGAGCTAACTTCGATAACGATTGCATGACACGAGTAATCAAAGTTTTAATATTACAATATAAGTAAAATGTAGTAAAAGTCATATATGGAAATTAAAAGAACAGTCAAAGAGTAAAAAAATAATAATTCTAAACAGTAATAAGATTAAAAACAAAACGCTTACATAAATACATCAACTAAATACGAGAAACATCACTTACGGTCGAAGTCATATGTTGAACTAATACATACACAGAGAGAAAAATGTGTGGTATTTGTAACTATAATTATATATTACTATAATTATGATTATTACTGCTATAATAATAATAACAGTAACTATATATATAGTTCCAGCAACAAATGTTATAATTGGCAACCTAAAATGACTATATTTATAGTTGTTATAACCATAAAATAGTTGAAATTACCATAAAAATGGTTCAAGTGACTATAATTTTATGGTAATTTCAACTATTTTATGGTTATAACAACTATAATTATAGTCATTTTAGGTTGCCAATTATAACATTTGTTACTGGAATTATATATATAGTTACTGTTATTATTATTATAGTAATATATAATTATAGTTACAAATACCAAACATTTTTCTCTCTGTGTATATATGCAGGGAATGAAAGTATCTATTTACTGTAACTACCGTTACTTAGTTACTTAGTTATCTTGTAATAACGATTTGGTAATGACATTGCAAATTTTTTTTATAATAACATAACAACCAGAGTTGGAACACAGTCAATAATTATTTATAAATGGTTGGAAAAGTCATTCGTCACTAAAAAAAAAATAACTCACTCAATTTGTAACTCGTTACTTTTTAATGTAACTTGTAACGGAGTAAATTTACGTCACCCGTTACTTATTACTTTTTTAAATAATAAAATAAAAAACAACTAATGAGAGGATTAATGAGAGTTTTGCACGGTAATTAGTACAAAGATAGTTATCGAATTTCTAATTTACAAATATTTAATTAATAAAACGTGAATAATAATAAAGACATTTCGGCGGTAAATGTTTAGAAAAGGGGCGCCACCCTCAATAACCTTGACCCTGATGACCTCTGACAGGTTTTAGGTAGCGGTCGCTATTCGTTAAAAAGTTATTAACAAAAAAGTTTGAAAACTCACGTTTTAACCACATGAAACGAAAATTTTTTTATTAGCAATTTATTTGCAATACACGAATAGTTATTTTTGTAGCATTATTATTGAATAAATTATTCATTATATAACACATGAATTTAGGTTTATATATTCTTACGTTTAGAATAAGTCTATCCAATGTTATATATGTGATGCTATAGCATTATGGCAGTGAAGTTTTCGTGATGTAAGTAACGCGCTAAGTGAGACACGCGGAACGAGAGATCCTGAATTCTCGAGTCTTGGCCGAGCCCAGTTTTTCGTTGCCAAAAAATGTAAGATTACTAATATTCTATAAATTTCTTTTCGCAAGCATGGAATAAGAGATTTCCTTTAGAACGGTTTAATATTAAATATTTATTGCGTCTGACCTAAATTTTTCTGTTAAGAAAATTAATGAAATAGTATAAAAATACTCTGTTCTAGATTTTAGAATTTTTTCATTTAAGAAGAAAATATTCTTTTCTGAAGAACAAATACGATGGGCTCTATATCTTATTTTATTGTAGATCTTATTTTATTCTAGATTGTCTGTTCAACACTTTGCTCGTGAGCCGAAACGCTTCCATCTCTCCGCCGCACAGTGGGGCTGAACGAACTTTCGTGTTTCAAAAAAAGCTACAGTCTCGAAATTTGAACCGATTTCGATAAATTTTTTTTTAAATGAAAACTAATTAAATTTGGAATAACTTGATTTAAATAATTTGATTTAAATTGGCAAGCTCAATATCTTTGCGCCAGTTACTCGCAATGAAGCACACGGTTATCCTCGTTCTTGCTGTTGCAGCGACAAGTAAGTATAAAACACACACACACACACACACACACACACACACACACACACACACACACACACATTTTATATATATATATGTATGTATGTATATAGAATAGATGCCAAGAGAAAAAAAGGTTGCAATTAGTATAATTTAATTAGAATTTATAATCATTCTTTGGAATAATTATATATGTATTTACAATTGTTATTTAACTATGCAAATAGAATCAATTGTAACTACTATTAATGTCACACACATTGCTTGAAAACCTTCAGCTTTTTCTTAATATATTTTTAAATTATTATTACCATATAAATAATAAGCGAATGTTAAAAAAATAGTTATATTCACTATATAATTACATTTACTAAATAAAAATGTTTAATTTATTTACAATTTATATCTTGATATTTTACTATGTTAATTTTTAAAATTATCATAAATTATAATACAATTTTTTCATGTTTGAGAGAACTATATGCATGGAAGATTATTATTAAGGTTAGAAAGTAAACGCATTACATATGCCGTTTCGTCAGTTTTAGATAACGGATGACTTATGAAGTAACGTTCACAAATTATTACCCTGGTTACTAACTATAGCAGTAATAATCACAAAAAATATCAAACATATTTAACTCATGTATATATGTATATATAAAAGGAAAAAATATAAATATAATATATATATATTGTTTATTCGATTTTTAATTTAATTATGCATAATTCCAAAATTATGATATTTTTAAAGCTTTCTACCTAGTGAAAACTGCCAGATGTTAGACGTTGAATCAAAATTGAGTTGAGGTCGAAAGCATTGTATTAAGGTCGATTCGACATCGAATTCGATGAGTCATTTCTCGTTAGTAATATCTAAACTTCAACAGTCTATTAAAGTGTAATTCTATTAAAATATAATCTATTCAAGTGTAATAGTTAAACGGATTTTAAATAATATATATATCTTTAGCAGATAAAATCTATAGGTATTTATGAAATGGCTCCTTGTGCCTACAAATCGATTACTTACAGTATCGTTTGCCTACATTATTTTTGCCGACAGTTCATTTGCGCACAAAAATTATTGCCTACAGCTCAATTACCTACATGCACTTTTACGCACAAATAAAAATTTCAAAAACGGAATCACGCATTTGCCTACATGTATCATTGCCTACTGATCGATTGCCTACAAGCACTTTTGCGCACAAATATAAAACTAAGGTTAAGTTAAGTAAGAAAATAATTTGTATTTTTAAAGCAGAGAATTTGTTTTCAAACAGAGAATTTGTGTTTTTAAAGCAGAAAATTTGTATTTTAAAATAGAATCTGTGTTTTTAAAGTAGAGAATATAGCACATGTAGGCAATCGAGCTGTAGGCAATAATAAGGGAAAGTGGATGAATTGTGCGCACCTAAGGGAAATTTATTGTCCTGGAATGATTTTCTAAGTTCAAAGCGATATAAGTATGGAAATAGAAACTATAAACATTCTTCTATCATTACGTATCCTCATATCGAAGATTTTCATTCAATAAGGTTGTATTTGGCAGAAAGAAAAAACGAAAAAGTGAAAATATTTCTCGCGCGTCAGATAATTGTGCGCATGAGTTGGGTAACTGTGTGCAAAGTAAAAGTCGTATGAAATGAATGAATTATGGAATATTGACAAAGAAATCAGAAAATATATATATTATATTGCAATGTAAATACATATATATATCTTGATAACATATGTCAAGATCAAGACCATTGGAGGGTAATCCCCTATATTAAACAATTAATAAAAATGTAATAATTGACAACTTAATACCACAGATCTTACTATGGTATGTCTTCTGATAATTTATTTAAGTTTTTATATTTTTGTTATTTTAACTTCACTGCAACATAAAAAAACTGGCTTGTTAATGTATTTTTATTTCATGTAAATGATATTAAATTTCATCTTCTTCTGAAATATTTTCTTTACGTCATTTTTTAATCTTATTTTAAAGATGATATATTAGGGGATATCATTATATTTTAATAATTTGTAAACCCTTAAGTGTTTGGTCTTAAGGAAATATATTTGTAGAAAAAAAGACTTCGTTATGAAAATGATATATTATATTATATATATATCAAACTACATATTAAAAATATATTTTGACCCTTACTTCTAATTTTTTGCGATAATTAGATGATGCTCAATCACGTCGTACATATTCAAGATAGTCAATATAGTCATACATATTCAATGTAGAATAAAATGAGTTGAAAATTTCTTTACATAGTTTCATTTATATTGCAATTTTCTATATTTATATTTCAATGCATATTTCTATTGCATATTCTAATAATTTACTTTTATTATATATTAATATACTACCATAATACTTTTCATAACTTTTTAATAAAAAATAATTATTCATATCAAGGAAATATCATTGCAATTGAACAGTTTTTATATTTTATTTGTGGTTCATTATATTTTCACAATTTTTTTTACAAAAATGTAAATGTCTTTACTTTCGAAACTGAAAATATTGTATAAGATATGCAAAAAAATACGTGGCAAAATTTTCCATTTTATTTAACAATTTTAGAATTTATTTATATCTATATAGATATGTATATGAACTGGCGTAGAGCCATCCGTTTAATTTCCGTAGAAACTCCATTAAAAGAATGGAATGCAGAGAAATGTGAAAATGCGTACGTAATGTAATGGTAATGGTGAAGCAATTAATCAAGTATACTTTTTGATGGAGTTTTTTTAGTTGAGTCAAAACATGGCTGCAAAATCAAACGCCGATCGGAGTTCGGAAACGAGAGAGAAGATGATGGATATTATTGTATTTGCAATATGACGTATTGCGACGAAGCTCCGGATGTGAGGAGGACATTCAATCCCTCTAAATATTTCCTAATAACATCTAGCAAAAGTGGTTTGTTCTTCAACGTATCGAGCGGTGTATACAAAAAGTTTAAAAAAGTTGATAGTAAGTACTGAAGTTGTTTTTTTGAAACATCGAAGTCACTATGGTAAGGCCGGTATTCATATAGTCGATTTTTAAGACTGTCTTAAGTATAGTCTTAAGATGTCATGAACTAATCAGAGGACCGTATTAGCATTTTAAGATATTATTTAAAACTATCTTGTAATAAGAACAAACTATGAATACCGGCCTAAAGGACTATCCAAGTAGGTTTAAAGCAGCCTTGTTATCCAATCATTAAACAATTATATCCCAAATGTCTTGTAACGTAGAATCAGAACCATTAGGAAAGATCACTATAAATCAAAAGGATGTATATCAAGAAATCCAAGGATTTGGTGGAGCTGTAACTGATTCAGCGGCTATGAAAATTCAAGAACTAACGCACGAGATGTCCGAGTATTTGTTGGGGTATAATGAATTACAAATCGTTTAATTTCAAAAGAATTTTGCTAATTCATTCAACACAATTAACATATCTAGAAAATTCGCAGCGATTTCTCTTGAAAGTTTTCACATTCAATTTTCAAATTCTAGAAGCTATTTTGGTCCACATGGTATCAATTACAATTTCATAAGAACGCCAATGGGTGGCACTGATTTCTCAACGAGACCTTACACTTATGCAATGGTAGAAAACGATACTTCACTTCAGCACTTTGATTTACAAATAGAGGATTATCTTTACAAGGTTTAGTCATTTATTGATTAATATTTCAACTGTTCATGTATCTGATAAGACAAATAGTTTATTTTTTTCGGATATCGAAAGGCATATCAAGAAAATTGTGTTTCTAAAATTAAGAATATGTCACATCAAACAATCAAAAATATGCAAATTTCAGATTATTCTGCTATTATGTCAGAGTATCTGTGTAAAATTTGAGCATAATTCTCTTATTGATTTAAAAGTTATTTAATTTTTTGTTTGTCTTGATTCTTATGTAAAATCGCATTTATGATACTTATTTATAAATTTTAGAAACAACATTAATGTGTGCGTGCGTGCGTGTGCGTGTGTGTGTGTGTACATGAATATATGTATACAGGGTGTCCCACAATGGTAAATGTTCACCTTTACACAGTCAGCCCCAAATGGCTTCCTAGTGACTTTGACCTTGACCTTGACCCTCAAAAAGGTCAAGGTCACTGACCTTTTCCGTCGTCCTCTATTCGTTAAAAAGTTATCAACGAAACAATGGGTGCATTCAGTATTACAACCGCTCACTGAGTGCTCAGTGAGTTCTTGTATCTGATTGGCATATTCCACTAGAACTAAAAATATAGACCAAACAGATTCAAGAGCATACTGGCTACGTTTACACCGTACTACTGATAGCGACCTGACTTATACCGTGACCCAAAGTAGATCTAGTCACCAACCGTTTACGAAAGGGACTTAAAAATTGATTGGGTCATATTTAGTCCACGCTGGTCCGAATTAGAGCCATCTATCGTATTTTGTACAAATTATTTCCATATATAGCATTGTACTCGCGAGTGCATAGTTGAGGAGGTTAAATAACAATTTGTCAATGACATTCGAAATGTCACATTTCCAAAAATACATTATATTTTTCACATTTGTCTAGAAGTAAATAACAAACCGGTTTAATCTAACTAATTCAACAAAACAGCAGTGTCCTACCGAGCAAATGAAAACGCTTTTAGGTCGGGTCAGTCGCGCGTTTACACCGAGAAAGCAGACGACCTATTTGAGGAGCGCGCGACTCTCACCTTCGACTCTCACCCCCCTTTCTCCTGAAATATAATATTTTTAAAGTGAAATATAGGCAAAATGTTATTTATGTGTTGTATATATATATATATATATAAATATTATGTGAAACGAGAATGATGACATATGTATTTTGTGTTTCAAAATTCTATGTATACAAATTGTTTCGTTGATAATTTTTACCCATGTAAAAGTTTTTTTGGATTCACTTATTCGTTTATAGTAAAAGTTAAAAGACTTATAATGATTTTGACTTAAAACTGCAGCAAATAACCAATTATTATAATTCAAATTATTTATTTTGCCTTTTTATAATTAATTTAAAGGCGTATTCACAGGCTAAAAGCATCATAATTTTTTAAATGATATTATCTGATATTAATTATTTCTGACTAATTGTTTAACTGATCCTGTTAGAAATAGTCAAAATATCGATCCTTAAGTAAATGGTATAACTATCAATTGCACAATATATGTACACATTTTATTAAATTGTTAATAAAAATCTTAATTGTCAATAGATACCGATTATAAAGCGAGCTAAAGAATTAAAGAAGGGAGAAATTAAGTTGTTGACTGCACCGTGGAGCGCCAGTCTTTGGATGAAAAATAAGAAATCTTGGATGATTGATACTAAATTACGTCCACAATATCGACAACTATGGGCAAATTATTTCGTGAAGTAAAATACCATTAAAATATTGTTATTATGTTATATTCTCCTTATTTTTTCATAATAATTAATCAAAATATTATAATTTACTACTACATTGTACGATTCATTTTCATATATATGAAACAACGTTACAGTTACGTAAAACTTCCCGAGATATTTAAAACGTATTATTATAAATCATTTTATATTTTTACAGATTTTTCGAGGCTTATCGTCGTAATGGTTTAGAATTCTGGGCTACTACGCCTCAGAATGAGCCAGAAAATTACAAGTATATTTCACAAACTAATAGTACATCTATCAACGCGATGGCATGGACAGCCGAGGAAGAACGTGACTGGATTATTTATAACTTGGCGCCAACCTTAAAGAAAAATAATTTTGGGGATATCAAAATCTTAACAATGGATGATACCAGACTATCGATTCCTGATTGGCCTAAAACGGTATTTGAAGATAGGAGAGCAAGAGATATTATTTCTGGAATCGCGGTCCATTTTTATTTTGATCATTTTATCAGTCCGAGTGTCTTGAATGAAATAAAAGAGCTGTTTCCAGAACAGTCAATATTATATACGGAAGGTTGCGCTGGAGTTTTCGAAGGTTGGTAAAGATTTGTGTTTTCATTTTTGTATTAACTTTTTTGCTTCTCTGATGAAACTAGTAGTTTCGGCAACAAAACTAACCACAAAATTTCTCTACTATTTATATTCTTTGTTTTATATTTTTCAATTATTTTATATTTTTTTATCATAATACAGGATGATGTCTCAAGGCAAGTTATTGAAACTAAACAGCTATCATTTTTACACGCACGTTGGAAATAGGAACGTTAAAATATTTTTTAACAGCAGACTTTGTCAGTTTTACATGTAAAGTAAAAACGATCGAACATACTTGTGTCATTTAACAAATGTTTATAAAAATGTCAAATATTGCTAATCGTAATAATATATATTTCGGCAATTTAACATTTCTCTTGATAAAAGAAATGTTAAATAAAGTTCTATTAAATTTTCTAAAATACATATCATTAAGTTTAACGATATTTAGTATTTTTACAAACATTTAATTAAATGATACAAATATATTCGATCATTTTTACTTTGTAATAAAACCGCCAAATGTCCTCTATTAAAAAATATTTTATTTTTTTATTCCTATATGCGTTTAAAAATGACAGCTGATTAATTTCAATAACTTTCCATGGGACACTCTATAGGTCTATATATCATATCTAGTATATTAAAAATATATGTCTTTCCTCATAATCCTTTACTATGCCTTTTATAAAAATTTTTGTTAAGTTTTATTCTATAATATCAAGACAAAAAATAATTCTGTATGTTTATGCATTTATTATGGATTTTTTTCATTTGAAAACAAAAAATATAAGCCTCGTAAAAGTCGATACAACTTTTAGACCGGTATTCATAGTCAGTTTTTATATTCAAGATCGTGTTCAATAAAAAAATAAATTGAAGATAAAGATTCACTCTTTCGACTGCTATAAACCGCATTTTTATGTGATTTTTAATTCATGCTTAGACCTTTGTAAGTTTGTATAAAATTTTCAGATTTTCGAAAATTTTGAAAAAAAATTGATAAATAATTATTCTAAAAACGCGATTGAATACAACTAATTTTGTTGTAAAACATTTATATAAAACATTTTTTTATATCTCAAATAGTTTTCGAGATATAACGGAAAAAGCTGAAAACCGCTGTACACGTAAGGAGTGATTTCCCCTTCAAACCGTTTTTTAACCGCAACTGATATTTTCTAAATTCATCTCTTTATGTAAGCTACAAGTTCACGAAGTTTCATTAAAATCAGAATTTGACACCTCGAGAGGTTCCCTTGTAAGTAAGTTTTTTTCTTTTTGTTCTTATTATTGTTCTTTTTATTTTTGTTCTTAAAGTTTTTGTTTTACAATCGTGATGTCTGAGATATTTAATTTCTATTTAGATAGTAAGTGTAGTTCTTACTTAATAAAGTCCAACAGATTTTTTTGTTTATCTGTCTTTGTTATCGTATACTGTTAATGTTTTTAAAAAATGAACGGATGGGGATAGTAGACTAACCACAGTATAAGGCTGTATGACTAGTATGACTCATTTAGTGACGACTCTTATAGTACTTTTACTCAATGTTTCATTCCTTTAAAAAGATTTACCTCAGTAGTAAATGTTATAAGTTTAGTTCCCTTACGTCCAATCTCGATAGGCTAATTCGACGTGCATGAAACGAACGAATTTAGTAAAAAGAAGCATTGTTCTGCGAAGCGAATGTTTTGTGTTTAAAATATATTTTTATAAAAGTTTTATTAATATGTATCCAAAGATGTAGCTTAAAATACATTAATCTTCATTTTAATAATTTTAGTCAAATTACTCCATACCATTAGTCATTTTACCCCGGTCCCAGAACTATATGTTTTGTATGTTATGTATGTTTTGAATAATTTTAATTGAATACACTGTGTAATCTCAATATTTTATTCAATTTGAAAATTTCTGTTAATTTATCCAAATTACATCGCTTTAAGGCCGTAATAGAAAGGCTGATTTATAATCTTAAGGCAGTGTCTTAAGATTATAAGTCGTGTCTTTAGTAACGCACAAGAACTATCTTATGACTTATGTCTTAAAGGTATATAAATACGAGGTACCTTTAAAAAATAAGTCATAAGACAGTTCTTGTGCGTTACTAAAGACATAAGACTTAAGTCATAAGACACTGTTTTAAGATTATAAATCAGCTTTCTGCTAAGGCCTTTACTTTAATGGTTTTTACAAGACACAAATACGGACTGAATTACAATTTAATGATTATTTACAGAACAAAAAGTGATTCTGGGATCGTGGAAACGTGCTGAGTTGTACGCAGCGAATATCATCGAAACCATGTCGCACTGGGTGTCCACTTGGATCGACTGGAACATTGCTTTAGATATGAATGGTGGACCTAACTGGATCAAAAATTTTGTTGATTCTCCAATAATAATCAACAGCAATGCCAACGAATTCTATAAGCAACCGATGTTCTACGCAATTGGACATTTTTCAAAGTCCGTACACCTTATACCTTTGTACCTCAATTGATACTTGTAACATTACATAAAACCAAACTTGTAAAAACTTGTAAAAATGTAATAATTTGTAAAATAATTACGTTTAATATCTATCTACTGTGTTTTACCGATATATTTCTATTAATTAAGCGTTTTTCTTAAATAGGTATGTCCCACCTGGCAGTATGAGAATTGGCACAACCTCGAAGAAAACCGCGAATATTCGAAATATTGCATTTTCCACGCCTGATGGCAGTATCGTATTGGTGATCTTAAATTTGTGAGTTTATCCTTACATAATATTCTAATAAAATATATAAATATATGAATTAGAGAACTGCACATTCTCATTGCAATGAAAATCTTATATATCTACTTTTATTGTTTTCAGGAACGAAGAGAACAAAGAAATTTTGATCCACGATCCAAAGAAAGGAACAACAAAGCTAAATATTCTCGCAAAGTCTTTAATTACCATGAAATATTGGTGATGTAGTTGAAATATAAATCCGCTGTATAATGTATCGATAGATAGGGGAGATGGTCGTACGAGGTTGATTGTCAAAATGTTTATAACTCGAACAGGACATGGTAGAAAAATCTCTTTTTTTAACTGTAAATTGCTGATATAATATTAATTTGTTGTATAAAATGATTTGCACCATAAACATTGTATATATTATTTATAACGATTTTTAAGAAAATGTAGTTGATGAGTAAATTTTTCTTATCGCCTATTTTGTTATCTGACAAATCTTTGACATTTTTAATCGCGATATCCCTGTATAGAAAATGACATATCTTAGAAGATCTTTACTAAAATTAATTAATTATTACCCTGACAAAGTTTGCGAATACAATATCTTTTATTAAAAATAGCTATGTGAGATAGATTGACCAAAATGAGACGAGGTTAGGTGACAATTAATTTTAATATTTTTAGGGAACACGTTTTTAGAAAATATATTTACAAATATATTATATCTCATATATATATATATATATATACATATATGTTTTTTCATTTTTCATATAGAAATTACCTTACGGTATAAAAACAAATTATGTATTTTATGATTAAAATACCTATTAAAATAACTATTTTATTTGTATTAATATCATAAATACTATTATTTCTCAAAATATAAAACTGATATTAAAATAAAAACTGTATTTTCTATATGTGTTGTCCATAACAAATATGTCAATCCTAAAACGTGTGACAATCAACCCAGAACACGGGGTTAATTGTCACATTTTGTTATTATTTATTACTTATTTATTACTTATTCATTACTTATTTATTACTTATTCATTCACTTATTTATTGATATTGTCGCTTGCTTAATGCAGATTTCAAAATGTTGGCCTTTTACAACAATGAACACGTTACATCTTGTACGGATAGCTCGTGTTACAACCAAACGCAACTGGTCAACATAACGACTCGCCAATCTAGCACTCTTCTGTCTGAAAATCGGCGAGTGTACTCTCGCACTGCCTCTAAATGAGTCTAAAGCATTATCGCTAAAGTCGTACAAGAAAACAATAATATTCCGTTTTAAAAACAATATTCTGTAAAATTATGTTTCTGCGATTTTTTCCAAAACGAAGCAAAAACAAGTATATCTCTCCGAAGGACTTTTTTTCTTAGTTTATTGATTCCGTACACACTCCCATAAGAACCATTTAATTTTTATATACTTATAAAATGATGAAAATTAACTCAGACACAAACGATCTATCGTGTGTAGTAAAGAATTGGAGAATTATGTATATAACAGTTAAGGTTAAATTCGTTGTTATTATAATATATCTCGCTAAAGTATTGTATATATTCAAACGAGTTTGTTTAATCTATAGCTTAAGGCGAATGATAAGAAGAATCATTAACTCGTGAAATACTTCCCAACTTTCTTGCCTATTCTTGAGGCACAATCCTGCTGATAGTATAAATATGTAACGGTCCTGCAACTTGTCCTCCCTTTAAATAGAATTTCTACTCGAATTGTAACTCCCTCAACTGTACCTTATTTGCATCCGATTACGCGTTGTTAGTTCGTCGGTTCTCGCAATTACTCTAAACTTCTGCATAACTTGGGTCACTCTCCATTAAAACTCTCACTAAGAATTCTTACCTCCCGGGCAAGAATTCGCCAGATTTGATGAGCACCACAGAAACGGGCTTGCTCAAACGCTTTCTCAATCTCGCTGAATATTTAAAATATCTTCCGCGTTTAATCCGCTAGGCTGACTATATGTATAACTTCAATATGTAATAAATAAATGATTTAAACTTGAAAACACAAAGTTTGATCAAAGTCCTAATTATTTTTGCATATTATAATATATAATAAAGAAATGATTTAAACTTGAAAATACGAAATTTGATGAAAATTCTAATTATTTTTGCATGTTCTTCTAATGAAATGTCTATAAACTGTCATTCTCACAGAATTACCTTCATAAATCAATACTATATGTAACTTAATTATTATAATTTTAGATGTCAAGAATAAAAGAATTGAATGGCGACATAAAAAACTACTCAATCTGCTTAAATAAAATGTTATTTATATAATTATCAATAATTGTAAATAAATAAAAAATACAACTTGATATATAATCAATCTTTAATGTACGTAAAATGACAGAAAGAAAAGAATGTGATGTATTTTATTTGAATCATTAAAAATGGTTCAAAACCAAAATATTTAATATTTTCTTGTTCTTTTCGTTGTTTTTCCTCATAGTGACATAATTATATCGCAAATATTTACACATTTATAGTTGTGTTCGTGTTCTCTCTTGGTCTTTTCCTTTTTATTGTCTTCATATAAATTTTCATTTGTATAATTCTTATTAATCAATGGGATTCCCGTTGATAGCTTTTTTTTCATCCCTATTCTGATGATTTGCACAATCTCATCAAAGCCAATCCGATAACAATGCCAGTACGAAGAGAGAAATATTTTTATCGGATGCGTCAGCGAATCTCAGAAAATGAACGTGGATTTAGGGTGGGAAACATACGCGAAAAGGGAGAACGCCAAATTTCTCTCGGCCAGTGAAATAAAGCCCGGATCGAGGCTGCTTATCTGGTATACGTGAAGGACACTCGCGTCGCTTCCGCGTGCGCATATTATATGGGTTACTGGTCCAAGGTCTGCCTGAACTATGCCCCGGGTTATCGCGCCAACTCGTGTGCAGGTAACGCCGCTGCAGGCACTTCCTCTCTGTAACCCATATATTCTACTGCTACTTTGCCCATATTTGCGGGTCAGATTCCAACGGGAAAATGTTATTTCCGAAGCCTTTCGAAAACTAGTCAAAATTGCCTAACATATTACTTACATGCATCACTTTTAACATTTTCTACATAAAACTATTTGACAGTGAATTTCACGACATGTTACGAAAAAAACAAAGTTGTTTCTGGATAATAAATATCGTTATTCTCTACATGTAATTATATTAACATAACTGTTTTTTCTATGATTATTTTATATAATATAAATATTTTTTTAAAATATTCATTTTCAAAATCAAGAATTTTAAAAGTTTTATAATTCAAAATTTTAAGAATTAATATAATTGAAAGTAATCGATTTTGCATTATAAAATAAAATTATCTATTTAATGTAATCAAATCAGCTTTCTAATTCTGAAGTGCTTTGGAAATACTGTGAAAAAAGATGTGCCGCTATCTCATTTTAAATAAAATTGGGCGAACACTCTTCGATTTTTCAATGAAGCAAAGCAGCTACGATACATTCGTGCTGTTGTGTGAATACGGTCTGCTTTTGCCTTCTTCATAAATATCTTTCAATTGTTTCTTACACGATGGCTACGTTTACATTGTGCGCTTAGTCCGCGACCTATACGATAGATGTCTTTATTTAACCTATAGGATAAACAAGGACATCTATTGTATAGGCCGTGGCCTAAATGCACGGTGTAAACTACTGTAAACATAGTGAATAAATTGTACATATTAGGGCTCAGACAAAAGATTCGAACATGTTGAATATTCGATCTATTCGAATAGTTCGAAGTTTAAGAAAATGAGCATCTGATTCGAATATTTCGGACAGTTCGAACAATTCGAGTTTAAGCAGTGATCAGTACGAAATGTCAATTTGTTGTCTGAATTGCGGACAATTCGGATAGTAAACAAATATAGTTATACCTTGGAAACAAAAGAGCAGTTAAATAAAATTCTTATATTTATTGATATTATCCTACAAATATCCTGAACCATCCTGGACATATTCAGGATGATCCTGAGGACGACTTGTGATGTTTGAGAAATGTAATAATTTCAAACTTTCAGCTCTGAAGTGGGTTAAAATAGTTCGAACATATATTAGGTCCGAACTATTTAACGTTCGAACTTAAGATTCGAACTGTCCAAACTGTCAAATCGTCTGATGTTTTCGAGCACTAGATACATATCAATGATAGTAAGTTTCACTAAAATTTTTACGATTTTCCTAAACGATAGATCCTTCTCTCCTTAACTAATTTAAAGTCTATGTATACTAATCTAATGCTATATTATTCTAATGCAGACATAAAGCGAAGCTTCGAATGATAAAAAATTATACATGCAGAGAAGAATACTTCTCTTAAACGCTTTGTACCTCACATCATTATTCATGTTGTTCTCGAGAAGCCATTTTATATAGCAAAAATAAAACCCAAATGGAAACAAATAAGATAGGAAATATTCAAGGAGAGATACATAAGTAGACAAACAGAGAAAAATGAAATCTCATTGTAATTTTTTGCCATAAAAATATGCTCTATATATAGAACATCGATTCCTTACTTCAAAAATAATACAACTCAAAAAACTAAGTTTCTCAGAAAAATTATTTTTCACAGAAGACTATTTCTATCTACTAATCAAATAAAATATCGGCAAAATAAATATTCTCAACGTAACCAAATATCATTTTTGTTATTTTTCGTTTCACAACTCTTTAAAAAAACACCTTTTTTTAGTTGTAACGATTTTGACAATTTTTTCTGAATTTAAATCAGTTTATTTTTTATGATTGATAATGTTTACCTAATTCATTCACAGCAATAACTAAAAAATCCTTTTTTTTTGTTGTGTGTTCACTTTTGAAATAAAACGCTATATTTATATAGCAGAATAAGTAACTTCTATGAGACATGTATATGCATTAAATACTGACGCACGTTGTTTGAGGTTTGAATTAGTTAAATAAATTTAAGATAAAAGAAACATAAAATAACAGCAACAAGATAAGATAAAGAGAAAAGAAAAAAGAAAAGTGCAAGCGCAGATAGAAAAACTTCGAAATGAAATTATAAATACAATATACGTCGACTTACTTTCTTTTATAAATATGTTCTTTTATGTGTGTATGATAATAAATCGTTTATTATTGTAATATATTCTTTAAATAAAAATATATATTGATATACTAGTAATCGTTTCTTATGCTAAATAATATTTAGCATAAGAAACAAAATATATAGGAATTGAAA